CTATACCTGAACCTATACCTGGACCTACACCTGGATCTACACCTGCACCTACACCTGGACCTATACCTGGACCTACACCTGGACCTATATCTGGACCTATATCTGGACCTGCACCTACACCTGGATCTACACCTGCACCTGCACCTACACCTGAACCTATACCTGGACCTACACCTGGATCTACACCTGGATCTACACCTGCACCTACACCTGGACCTATACCTGGACCTACACCTGGAACCTGGACCTATATCTGGACCTGGACCTATATCTGGACCTGGACCTATACCTGGACCTATACCTGGACCTATATCTGGACCTGGACCTATACCTGGACCTGGACCTATATCTGGACCTGGACCTATATCTGGACCTATATCTGGACCTATATCTGGACCTGGACCTATATCTGGACCTGGACCTATATCTGGACCTGGACCTATACCTGGACCTACCATTCTGTGTTCGTCTGTCTCTCCTCCCTTCCTCTCAACCAGCCGGTCAAAGCAGATGGTCTCTTGTCCTGAGCTGGTTCTGCTGGAGGTTTCTTCCTGTTAAAGGGAGTTTTTCTTCCCACTGTCTCCACTGTGCTTGCTCAGGATGGGAGACTGAGACGAAGCCAAGATTCAGCTCGTTATCAATGCGGCTTTTGTATGTTTGTGAATGTTTTCATTTAGTGCCCTGAGAATACTTTGTTGTGATTTGAAACTATATAAATAAACTGCATTGAATTGGAAAGACCTTCGATAAGCTTTGACCTTGATTTGTGGCCTTGACCTTACAGCTGGGGAGATGAAAACATTATGCAACACACTGTTGTGGTGGTACAATTTTTTTATTAAGTTTTGTTTAATTATCTTCCCAATAGATTATAATATCTGTGTTGGGGTGGGTATAAATTATTATTATTTTTCTTTCGGCTGCTCCCTGCATCAGGGGTCGCCACAGTGAACTGAGTCACACGAAGACTTGATCATTATTTTTACACCGGATGTTCTTCCTGAGGCAACCACAGACACCGAGCTCCCACAGCCTCTGTGTGGAGCAGAGCTGCATCTAGGACACCCCGGGGGAGCAGATGGTGGGGGTTAGGGGCCTTGCTCAAGGGCCCAGAGTGGGATGAATGAGAGTGGGGGCAGGTGTGGGCACTTCACCTACCCCCACCCACATTTTTGATGTTGTCTGTACCAGGGCTTGAACCAGCGATCTTCCGATCACAGGCCCACCTTCTCTAACCTCTGTACCACCACTCCCTAAAGAGGCGGGTACAAATCATCATGGGAAAATGGGTTTTTTCGTACCCAAAGTTTAAGTACGACACAACTAAAGCTGCAACGATGCTTTTGACAGAAAGACTAATGGCACTAACGCTACCCCTGGTACATGAAGTTGATTTAAAAAACAAATCCTGTTGATAAAGAGGAGTGAGGCTCCACGCAGTGTTCAGTGTTGGACAGAGGTTGTGAGCTGACCTGCTAATCGATCAGGGATGTAGACCGGGCTGGGGCTGGACAGGCGGGCTGGCAGGGTCATACTCTGCAGGGCTGGAGCGGTGGCTTTGCTGCTCTCCTGGTTCTGACCCTTTTCAGTCTGTGTGCAGCTGTCCTTGCTGCCCGTCTTAGAATGTCCAGTAGTCATCAGGGTTGAAGACAGGACAGGGGACGGAGACGATGAGATAGACTCGGTCCTCAGAGAGTCTATACGACATTCTGGACCCAGCAGAACCCCTGGTGACCCATCAGAGCATTTCATGAAAAACAGAAGCAGCAGGACATGCACACGTTTATTTCAGATTTTACAAACACTCTCAGACAATCACTTCTCTCCGTACGTCTCGTCTCTCTGGAACGATCTTATCGATGATGTGCTTCTCTGAACACAGCACTCCGCTCTACTTCAGGACGCGGGACAACTTCCAACCACAAACACTTTCTGGAGCAGTTAGTGAGAAATGAATGTCTGAGGAATAAAACTTTGGTGATTCCATTCATCACTAGTGTCAGGAATCATTTCATTAAGAATAACTTTTATCTTCCTCGCACGAGTCATAGTCGCGTCACTTTCGTTTCGAACTCGTCAAAATGTGTCCGTCAAATTTTCTCAGTTCTTAAAAATCAGTTGTGGTGGGAAAAGAAAACAGCACGCTCCTATCTCTACAAAGATAAGTGAACAAATCATCCTAAAGAGACTAATCAGAGCTTTAGATCACATTCAGACACCGATGGACACATCGGAGGCTGTGAGGGGGTCAGTGTCTTGCCCAGGGACACTTGGGCATGACACTCCTGGTGGATTCGAACCCCCAAGTCTTCCATTGGAGGACGACTGCTCTAACCACTGAGCCACAGCCGCCCAGGTAAACGTTGTAAGCTCAGAATTTTGTGTTAATGGATGTGGAGTTCCTCAGGGCTCTGTGTTGGGACCAACAATGTTTATTTTGTATGTGAATGATGTGGTTGATGTGTCGGGGCTTTTGAAGTTTGTTTTATTTGCAGATGATACATTTTTTTTGTTCGGGAGAAGTTCCATTTAAAATTAACAGTATTGAAATTCATAGAATTAATTCAATGAAAATGTTAGGTGTCGTTATTTATGAGAAGCTGACATGGAAACCTCATGTAAATTAAGAATTAAAAAAGCTAAATCAATTGCATTATTATATAAAGTTAAATAGTTTTCGAACGACAAAGCTTTGTATATATTGTATAATGTAATGATTGTTCCATATTTAATCTATTGTGCTGAAGTTTGGGGAAAAGTAAAACAATTACAAATCCTATTTTTATTTCACACAAAAAAGAGCTATAAGAATTATTATTAGTATGAAGGGCTCTGGTCACCCAACAAATATATTATTTCATCAGTTGAAAATATTAAAATTTATGATTTGGTTGAATATAGTATTTTACAAGTCATGTATAAAGCTCATAAAAAATATTAGCCCAAATATTCAATTAAAATGTGTTAAAAATATAAAATGAACGTAGGCCAAACGTAGAAGTAGGTTGGTAGAATCTGACCAAGGTCAAAGTTTCACCTGCAGTAAAGCCTCAGCATAAACAAATAAACAGGCTTTTACCTAAACTGCCCTTCCAGCAGGTGTCCTTGCGCTCTTCAGTGATCGGTGAGCTGCCGAGTCCAAGGCTGTGAGAAAGCACTCCTGACCCACCAGAGCCGGTGTTGGAGATGGACATTAGAGACTTGGAAGGCCTCATGGCTGATGGGGCATCAGACTTGACGGGCTCTTTTCTGGAGCGCTGATGAAGCACCTTGATCATAGCATCCTTTTCAATGATTTGGGCATGGAGGTTCTTTATCCTAGGTCAACGAGAACCAGAAAGCAGCCTCAGGTACAGTTCACATAAGAAGCTGTGTGTACATCACCTGCTGCAGGAGGACCAGGTGGGGGAATCTGGATTTAGCAGCTGCACTCTGAATGTGGTGGAGATGTCACAGAAGAATGCATGAAAATACAGATGAGGACATCCTTACACTTAGAAAGACAACAAGAGCAACTGGGAAACCAGAACCCTGCGTACGGCACATGATATGCCAGTTGGTAAACTATTATACAGAAAGACAACCGTCTATAGGCCAGACAAGCAAAGACCGTGGATGATCTTTGACCTTGATTTGTGACCTTGATCTTAAACCTGGAGTGATGGAAATATTACAGCACTCTGTCTAGTGACGATGCATGTGTGTATGAGGTTTAGTTAAATGATCCAGAGATCACAGATCTCTTTTGTAAGGGAGGTCTGGGCCTGAAGGCAGACCAACATGCATGTTTTTGATCTGTGGGAGGAAACCGGAGCACCCCGAGAAAACATTGTCCAACTTTGTGACACTCAGAATTATTGTGTGAGTGTCAAAGTGATGCCCAACAGATTTACTTTCACCAGCAGAGCATCATGGCTGGACTTAACGCTCCGCTTGAAATATAAATTAAACTTTATTAGAATATGCTTTGGACTTGTTTCAGATGTAACGGACACGGGGACGGAAAACAAAGAAGAAAAGTGAGAAGAGTTAAAAGGTAAAGAAGGAGAGAGGAATAGAGGAGAGAGAGAGGGATAAAGAGAACCCCCCCCACACACACACACAGACACGCCCACATGTGATGGAAAATGGTTTGGATTACATCGTGGTCCTGACCTGCTCTCCATGTCCAGGCAGCGCCGGTTGGCCATGAGGATCTCCTCTTCCTCCTTCTGGATTCGAGCTTCGACCGACGTGTCGTAGCTGCTGCTTGGTGAGTGGCTGGTTCCTGCCGTGCTCGTGTCCCTACAGGACGAGGGGGGGCAAAGGTGCTGCAGTTTAGGTCAGGGTTAATTTACATTCTTATTTATTTACATTACTTTCTAGTTCCACAACTAACGTTTTATTAAACTGTAGCATGTGTGTGATAGCCCACAACACATTTAGTCTGAGTCTACTTTGGGTTCTTTCACACAACTCTTGCACTAATCATAATAAAGTAACTTCCACAGAAGCAGTGGTTTGACCCGGGAAAGTTCCTGCCATACTGTGTGGGAAACAGCACCCCCACTTTGCCTCGTGGAGAGTGGAAGTGTTTTCATTTATTTCTGTCATTTTTCAAATCGTGGACGTTAAACTGATTTTTGAATCGAATAAAATAAATAAATAAATAAAGAACTTGTTGGTTTTAGAAGTTTACAAGTCAAAATAATGCAGTGCTGGACCTAAATTCATAGCTGTGTTTAAAAGTCTCGTGTTTAACAAAGACTGTACACGTCCTACACAAAGATACTACACACTGTGCACCCCCCCCTGCAGAAACACCCACCTCTGAGTCGCAACAGAAGCAGCGACATCCAGAGCAAACTGCCTCATCACGCTCTCCTCCAGGTATTTCTGCTCCCACTTGGTCATGTCGGCCTCCAGAGCCAGGATGCGCTCTTCCTTCTCCCTCAGGTGCTCCATCAAGGCGGTGGCGTTGTACTCAGAGGGACCCGCACCGCTGCTGTGAGAGCTGCCTTGACGCTGGCACACAAGTCAAGCACACACTAAATGTTAAACTCTCTACATACATCTACTGTACTTTCTGGACCAGCAGACGATATTCTTCCACAGGCTGTGAACCCTGCGACTTATACAATGCTGACACTAATTTATGGATGCTTTATTTTGACGGGCTAATGAGCTTCCTGCCACCAAAACATTTCGTCTCGTCACACCCGGGAGAGGTAGTTGTCCAATACACGTCTCTCTTGAGGGGTGGGTCCTTGTGACCCAATACATGTTTACATGCACAAAATTCTTTGACCGGATTGAAATGTTTTCAGATGAAATCATTTGAATGTATCGTTTACATGGGCACAATCCGATCACCACGAGTGTTTGCATGCAGCAGCCTTTTATTCTGAATAGAAGTTCTGACATGCGCAGAGTGGTGAACTCTCCTTACAAAACACAGAAGAGGAGCGCTCACGTGCAGCAGTGGAGTGCACGTGTTTCTGTAGAGCTCTGTGTCACTGCCTCAACTGAACAATTACTGCTCCAGAGCTCTTCATTTGTCTTTCTTCACTGGAGGACCAGTAGATACTCACTACATGAGTACAAGTACTGCAGTCTGGGTTGATTTCATCATGCCAAAGAAAGGTGAAACCCAGACGCTGACTCCTCAGGATGGCTCAGCTGTTAGCAACGAAGCCATTTTAGCCTCCGTCATTAGCTGCAAAGATGAACTCTCTAAAGTTTACACTCGTGGATTCTCTCAAGAAGTCGCTGGAAGGTCGCTTGGACTCCATCGAGGCTCGTTTAACGACACTGCAAAGAGAACACAGTGAGGCCCAGCACCGTGTGCACGACATAGATCCGGCTCTTACCTCTACTGATCAATCAACCTTTATACAGGTAAGTCCCATTGAGCCTCGATGTCTGCGTTACGGCGCTGGAGGCTACAGGTACCGAGCTAGCTGCAGCTAATGGACTTCTGTCAAGAATTAAAACCTGCTCCATCAATTCTAGACTGCAACGTATTCAATTCAAAGTTTTCCATCAGCTGCACTTTTCCAAAACCAAACTTAAACTATTTCCCTGTGTCTCTCCAACTTGTGATGAAAGTAAACCAGATGATGGGACTCTGGCTCGTTTGTTCTGCTCCTGCCCTAAACGTATGGTCTTCAGTTCTATAGTAAAGTTTATGGCAGACGTCTGACCCTGATAAGCATTTGATCATTTTGGGTTGCTCTAAGTTCTCTCTTACTCTTCCCACGTCTCTCCAGCAGGCTCTTATGTTTGGTCTGGTGTCACAAAACGGGTTATTTTGAGGGAATGGAAATCCTCTTTCCGTCCTCGTTTCAAAAAATGCCTTAATGATATGGTGTCTTGTGTTTATCTGGAAGAGATTTGATATTCTTTGTCAGACAACCAGTATAAGTTGATGTGTGGGGTCCTTTCAATACATACATGCAAAGGAATGGGCTAAATGATTATGCTGATCATCTGGATCTTTTTTTGGTCGTTGTTACAATTTTCTTTTACGTTCATGTTTTATTAATGCTCAGTTTTTCTATGATGTACTGTTTGAAACACATTGTTTAATGAACGGCAGGTCGTTCCATTCGACTCTGTCTTGTGCTTGATTACACACATTGGGCTGATGTGAACATTTTTTATACTTTTTCATCACTACACCAGTTTGCTGACAGACTGTTTTGACTGCTTGATCATGTTTTTTTTATTTAATTTAATTAAAACATTTTGTTATGTGTGTGTGCCTTAGTTGTTTAACTCTGAGAAATAATAAATAAAATATTTTTTTTAAAATTGAAGAAAAAAAGCACAGAAGAAGAAGTTCTACTTCTGTTTTACTTCCTGGATGAACGTAAACAAAGCTGAGCACCAAAATGGACCCGCGACAGGTTTTAATGTCGGCGGAGACGCTGCTGCACTCCCTGACTGAGCTGCAGGTCACACACATCGTTCTGAGCTCTGTCAAAGTTTCCAGTAGAAATGTTGTCGCGCACAGACCAGTTTTACTTCCTCCCATGCTAATATTATTAGCATCTTGCCAGCGGGAAATACGTGAGGTAGACAGGTCGCACAGGCGCAGTCAGGTCACTTTTCCACAATCGGAAAAAAATGAACAGATTAAGTGTTTACATGAGCACCATTCAGATTATGAATCGGCATAAATCACCCGTCTCATTCTGATTTCAAATCATTTCGGATCGAGCTGAATCAAAAAAAGAATAATCCAAATGTGGCGTTTACATGACACGTTTATTCCGAATGGCCGATTGATCCAATTACTTATGTCCATGTAAACATGGCTACTGAGACTACCTGTATAAATAAAGGTAAAACATAAAATCTGACCAATGAAATTAACAAACAGGTCATGCGCAGAGCAACTTTTGCTCTATGGAACAGAACACATGGTCACATGGCCTCAGGGAGGGATTATGGGTAAAATGTATGTTTACTGTTAATCATTTTGGTTAGTTGTGTAGCATTGCTCTTTTAGTGATTAGTCTGTTCTTGTGAGCTTAGTTTATGTGTTCATTATGTGTTAGATTGTGTTAGGTCATTCAGTAGAGTAACCATGAGTGAGGGCGGTACAGTAGTCGTCATGAAGACCTGTGGGGTTCACAGTCCGTGTGTGCTGAACAGTAAAATAAAATCTATAAGACGCCATATAGGTCTGGGTCTGGGTTCCTCCTTTTCACCTGTTGGCTGACTGGAGTCCTGTTTGGGTTTCTTCTTTCAGGAAGGCCCAGTTAGGATATCCACATTGCTCTAGAGCCTGTCTTGTGTGGGATTTCTCCTTCTGCCTGGCTCCTGAGCTAGTGGGGACGCTGTCTGCTCTGTGGTACAGAGTCCTGATGACTCCTAACTTGTGCTCCAAAGGGTGATGGGAGTCAAACTGCAAATACTGGTCTGTGTGGGTGGGTTTGTGGTACACCTCAGTTTGCAAATGTCCTCTATCAGAAACTGAGACCTCACAGTCCAAGAAAGCCAACCTGCCATTTTTTACATCTCGTTTTTGATATATCGTCTGAGACTACAACAAACACAAATGGAAGAAAAATGGGAGAAATGGATACTATTCAAAACCAAAAACAACGACAAAAAATAGAGAAAGAACTCGACAAACCAGATAAAACAAAGGGACTAATACGATTAGTTTCCAAGCAAATTTTTAATTTTTTTTTTTTTGTATGTAATGTTAAATGTGAACTGTACATGTTATATGTAAATAAATGTGGAAAATACCAATTAAAAAAAAATTTGATAAAAAAAAAATAATAATAATAAAAAAAGAATCCGGGAAGGACAGATGGTGGTAGATTTCACCAAGAGAATGGAAATGGCTGTAGTCAAAACTTATTTCCAAAAGAGGGAGGAACAGAGTGACCTAAAAGAGTGGAGGAAGGAGTACGCAGGTCGATTACATTCTGTGTAGAAGAGGAAACCTGAGGGAGATTGGAAACTGTAAGGTTGTGGCAGGGGAGAGCGTGGCCAGACAGCATCGGATGGTTGTGTGTAGAATGACTGTTGTTGTGAAGAAGAGAACCAGATTAAAATCAGAGAAGAAGACCAAATGGTGGAAGATGAAGAAGGAAGAATGTTGTGAGAAATTCAGAGAGGAGCTGTTAAAGGCTCTGGGTGGTAGGAAAGAGCTTCCAGATGACTGGACGACTACAGAAACAGTAATTAGCGAGACATGTAGGAAAGTACTTGGTGTGTCATCTGGACAGAGAGTGGATGATAAGGAAACCTGGTGGTGGAATAGTGAAGTGCAGGATGACGTTCAAAGAAATAAGTTAGCCAAGAAGAAATATGACAGTGAGATGACTTAATGAGTTGTATGAGAGGTGGGACACTAAAGAGGGCGAGAAGGACTTGCACTGATTGGCAAGACAGAGGGATCAGGCTGGAAAGGATGTGCAGCAGGTTAGGCTTGTTAAAGATAGGAATGGTAATGTTATAACAAGTGAGGGGAGTGTGACAAGAAGATGGAAGGAGAACTTTGAGGAGCTAATGAATGAAGAGAATGAAAGAGAAAGAAGAGTAGAGGTCATAGAAATGGTGGACCGGGAAGTGGGAAAGATTAGTGAGGGTGAAGTCCGGAAAGCTCTGAAAAGAATTAAGAAGGCGAAGACACTAGGACCTGATGACATACCAGTGGAGGTTTGGAAATGTCTTAGAGAGATGGCAGTGAAATTTTTGACTTAAATATACAATGGCGTATTTAAGGGTAAGAAAATGCCTGAGAAATAGAAAAGTGTGCTGGTGCCTATTTTTAAGAACAAGGGTGATGTACAGAGTTGTAGAAATTACAAGGGAATTAAGTTGATGAGCCACACGATGAAGATCTGAGAGAGAGTTGTGGAAACAAGACTTAGATGAGAGGTGACTATTTGTGAGCAGCAGTATGGTTTCATGCCAAGAAAGCGCACCACAGATGCATCATGTCAGCCAGGTCTCTACCTTTGCTTTGAGAATGCTGATGGAGAAGTGCAGAGAAGGTCAGAAAGAAATCTATTGTGTCTTTGTGGATTTCTAAAAACTATATGACAAGGTGTGGTATTGCATGAGTAAATCTGGAGTGGCAGACAAGTATGTTAGACCGGTACAGAAATGTATGAGGACAGCAGGACAGTGGTGAGATGTGCTGTAGGAGTGACAGATAGCTTCAAGGTGGAGGTGGGATTGTATCAAGGATCAGCTCTGAGCCCCTTCTTGTTTGCTCTGGTGATGGACCGACTAACAGATGAAGTCAGGCAGGAATCTTCATGGACTATGATGTTTGCAGATGACATTGTGGTCTGTGGTGAGAACAGGAAACAGCTGGAAGAGAATATCCTGATGCATGTAGGTGGAAGAGAACTTGAAGAGATGGAGATATACACTTGAAAAAAGAGGAATGAAAGTCAGCCATAGTAAGACAAAGTACATGTGTGTGAATGAGAGGGAGGCCAGTGGAACAGTGAGGCTACAAGGAGCAGAGGTCAAAAAGGTGCAGGACTTCAAGTTCTTGGGGTCCACTGTCCAGGAAAATGAGATAATCAGAGCTACAGCACAGGTTGAACAACTGGGAGATAAAGTTAGAGAGGTCAGCCTGAGATGGTTTGGACATGTTCAGAAGAGGGACAGTGGGTATATTGGTAGAAGGATGTCCCCCTGCTTCACTGCTTTGCTCTCTTTCGTCTTGTGAACCTTCAAAGAGCCTCTTTGTTTTTCTGCATACCTTCCTAATTCAAAGGATTTGATCAGCTGGTCTCTCAACAAAAGTGATCAACTTCTCCCGACAGGAAGTCAAGCTAAGGAGGACCCTCTTACCTCGACGGAAACAAATTGGATTCGTGATGACAACTGGATTCTGCTGTTTGGGTTGGTGAAATCTGGATTGTCTACAAATTTGTGTGGATGTGTCGAAGCTTGGCAGCACTCAGACTGAATTATGTGGAGCTGCGTCAGAGCGTTGGAGCAGGCTGTTATCAGGACTGTGAACTTTCTGGCAGCACCCATGAATGGTTGGGAATAATCTTGAAGAAGCTGTGAGCTCGGCTTTCGGCGTAAAGAATCAATTCAGCTGTTAGGAGTCACCACCAGAAAAATGTATCAGCGAGACTTTAAAAGGTAGAAACGGCAATTTACGAGTTCTGCCTGACCCAAACTGTGGCCTTGACAGCGGACTTATCTCAATACCTCCTGGCATGTTTAGGAAAAACAAAGACGCTTTGTCTGTCTCCTCACCCCTCCCTTCCCCAAGGCCGTGGACATGTGACGGAACCTCACCCGAGCTCATGATAACTAACACCTCTTACTTGGACAATAGCTGAGGGGGGTCTCTGGACTATGCTACAACCTTCCCATAAAATTCAATGTCTTCACCGGCCTATATGTTCATGTATCACATCCATTTATGTTGCTTTGCTGTGGTAGGTTTTTTAATGCCTCAAACCATGCCCTGTCTAGGACATGGTGTGAGAGGTTTTTTTTATACCGTCTCTCCTCATGTTTTCTTCCCTTTTCTCATCTAAGCAAAATATTATTCTGAATAAGAATAAGAGGGCCGCATTAATTAGCAGCAGCTTCGTGCACTCCGTCCATCTTTCAGACGACTGTACGTACATGTTCTCGTTGTATCTCGGTACAATGATAATAAAACTTATTCTGATTCTGAAATGTAGCTGCCAGGAAAAAGAAAAAGAGGAAGGCCAAAGAGGAGATACAGGTTCTGGTCATAAAATAAGAATATCATGAAAAAGTTTATTTATTTCAGTTAGTCCATTTAAAAAGTGAAACTTGTATATAATATTCATTCATTACACACAGACTGGTATATTTCACATTTTTATTTCTTTTAATGCTGATGATTAGAACTGACAACTAATGAAAACCCCCAATTCTTGCAACAAAAAGACAAAAATGATTGGACTGCTGCTGAGCGGCCCTAACTTCTGTTCTCTGATGAAAGTAAATTTTGCATTTCCTTTGGAAACCAAGGTCTCAGAGTCTGGAGGAAGAGGAGAGGCACAGAATCCATGTTGCTTGAGGTTCAGTGTCAAGTTTCCACAGTCAGTGATGGTTTGTGGGGCCATGTCATCTGCTGGTGTTGGTCCACTGTGTTTTCTGAGGTCCAAGGTCAACGCAGCATCTACCAGGAAGTTTTAGAGACTTCCTGCTTCCTGCTGCTGACCAACTTTATGGAGATGCAGATTTCATTTCCCAACAGGACTTGGCACCTGCACACAGCGTCTAACTACCAGTACCTGGTTTAAGGACCACAGTATCCCTGTTCTTAATAGACCAGCAAACTCGTCTGACCTTAACCCTAGAGGAAGATGCGATACACCAGACCCAACAATTGAGAAGAGCTGAAGGCCACTGTCAGAGAAACCTGTACTCTCATGACACCTGAGCAGAGCCACACACTGATCCACTCCATGACACGCTGCATTGCTGCAGTAACCCAGGCAAGAGGAGCAACAACTAAGTATTGATGCTGAACATGTTCAGACTTTTCAGTTGGACAACATTTCTAAAAATCCTTTTTTTTATTGGTCTTAAACAATATTCTAATTTTCTGAGATACTGAATTTGGGGTTTTCATTAGTTGTCAGTTATAATAATTAACAATAAAATAAATAAACATTTGAAATATATCAGTCTGTGCGTAATGAATGAATATAATATATGAATATATGAAATAAATGAACTTTTTCATGACATTCTAATTTTATGACAGCAACTGTGTATGGATGCAGTTAGAGAGGACGTGGAGGTAGTTGGAGTGAGGACAGAGGATGCACAGGACAAAGTGAGATGGAGGAGCATGACTCGCTGTGGTGACCCCTGAAGAGGGAAAAGTTGAAAGAAGAAAAAGATTTTTAGGACAATTATTTGCTGCTTAATGAGCCTTTAAAATATTGGAAGACACTCTTGTTTTCATTAGGAGTCTTAACCATAAAACTAAAAAAATACAATGCATTCAACAAAAAAAAAAAAAAACCACAGACCTAGAGACAAAACACTGGAATTTCAGAGGAAAGTGATTTCAATTGTCTGAGTCAATAACGATAATTAACCAATGTTCTCCCTCAGCAGCATCTTATTAAATAGATGTCATCTGTTGGTGTTTTACCTGCTGCAGGCGTAGAGACTCCAGCTCTCGTTCCAGCCTCGTACGCAACCGATGTTCAAGTTGTTCTCTCTTCTCACATGCTGCCTGGAGCTGAGCCAGAGCCTGCTGCATCCGCTCCACCTTCTCTACGTAAACCTGCTTTTTCTTTAGCTTCAAAAACACACACGCACAAAAATCAGTATGCAGCATTGTGGGACTGATCTACATCGAAGGTAAATGGTCCATAACTAAATAACTCATTTTCACCTCGACAGGTTATACAAAGCACTTTACGGAGTTTCACATTTATACGCTGCTTTCATTTATTTATTTTTACACAACATATACAGCTCTTTCTATATTCTCGCTCATACAGTATGTAGGCATATTCATTCAAGCTTTATTTGTACATGTTAGTCTCATTGAGTCATGAGGACTCATTTTCAAGAGAGGCCTGTTTTGACAAACCACAGATAAGGTACAGAAAACAATAAACAGCCATAAAAAGCATATAAAATAAAAAGTAAATTAAAAAAGTGATATAAAACAAAATAAAAGCTACAAGCTACATAATGAAACAGGGTAAAATACAAAAAAAAGGAACATGTCTGCATTGATTTTTGCCATGAAGTTAACAGTTATTTAAATCCCTTAAGGAGGTCAAAGTGGACAGATTCACATATTTTTGTAAGGTGTTCCAGGAAACAGGAGCGGAGTAGGAGAAGGCCCTTTTGTTGAATTCAGTCTGCACTGAGGGTGCACTGCAAGTAATGTCTTGAGAGCGCACGCTGTAGCTGCACTGACGATGTGACATGTAGGAGGAGATGTATGAAGGCAGGCATATCGGTGGGCAATGGGGAGCATAGTGTAATGCTGAAGGACACTTCGGCAAGCTGTACTGGGGACTGAACCTTCAACCCTCTGATTGGAGGACAATCATCCTACCCACTGGACTAAGACACAAACATAGTTACATTAAAATGGGAAATATGGCTGCCATCTACAAAAATCCATAAACCACATAAATCTTGAATTTTGAGAAGCTGCTGAAAATTGGAGGGGGGGGGGGGGGAGCGGTGCTAGACCTGGACCAATACACATCCTCAGTTCTGGAGTACATTAGTCAATGTACTGATGATGTCACAACCATAAGATATGTTAAAAGTTATCCGAACAAAAACCTTGGCTGAATGCAGAGGTGCGCACCCTGCTGGAAGCCAGGAACACTGCCTTCAGGTCTGGAAACTCAGAGGAGCTGAGTAGGACAAGAAAAGAGCTGGTTGCTGGTATTAAGAAGGCCAAGGCCAAATATGCACAGAGGCTCCAGGTTCATTTCACCTCACAAGACCCTCGGAGCATGTGGAGGGGCATTAAGTGCATAACAGATTATAAAGGAAGGAGTGAACAATGCTCCAAAGACCCATCTTTGCCTGATGCCCTCAACAAGTTCTATGCACGCTTTGAAGACCCGAACAGACCACCCAGCACCAGACTCACCTCGCCACTGGATGAAGAGCATCTCAGCGTGACCTCAGCAGAAGTAAGGAGTACCTTCAGGAGGATTAATCCGCACAAAGCAACTGGTCCAGATAACATCCCCAGAAAAGTGTTGAAGGAATGTGCCGATCAGCTCTGTGAGGTGCTGGCAGACATCTTTAACACCTCACTTACCCTGGAGACAGTTCCCACCTGCCTGAAGACTGCCACCATCATCCCAGTCCCAAAAAGCTCTACAGTGACTGGTCTGAATGACTATCGGCCAGTGGCCCTCACCCCGATAGTCGCTAAATGCTTCGAAAAACTGGTCATGACTCACATCAAAACAACCATCAACATGAACGAGGACCCTCATCAGTACGCATACCGTGAGAACCGATCAACAGAGGATGTCATCTCCTCTGTGGTCCACACTGCGCTCACCCACCTGGAGCAGAAAAACTCTTACGTCCGTATGCTCTTTGTGAACTTCACATCTGCCTTCAACACCATGATCCCCCAAACCCTGATGGACAAACTATCCACACTAGGACTAAGCCCCTCCATTTGCAACTGGGTCCTGGACTTCTTAACAAACAGACCACAGTCAGTGAGGATCCAAAACTTTTCCTTCTCCACCATAACCCTCAGCACTGGCTCTCCTCAGGGATGTGTGTTGAGCCCCCTCTGGTTTATTCTGCTCACATATGATTGTGCAGCTACCCATCCAGGCTGTCACATTGTAAAGTTTGCAGATGATACAGCGGTGGTGGGATGCATCACAAACAATGATGAGTCCAGCTACAGGCAGGAGGTGGAACACCTGGAGAGCTGGTGCAAAGAGAATAACCTTCACATCAATGTGAAGAAGACAAAGGAGATGATTGTGGACTTCAGAAGGAACAAACACACCTACACCCCCCTGAACATAAGAGGATCTGCGGTGGAAGTGGTCTCCAGCTACAAGAACTTGGGTGTACACCTGAACAACGACCTCAGCTGGAGCAACAACACCACCAGCCTGATGAAGAAAGATCATCAGAGACTCTACTTCCTCAGGCGGCTGAGGCGAGCTGGTCTGGAAGCTCAGTCCTCACCTCCTTCTACAGGTGTGCAGTGGAGAGCATCCTGTGCTCCTGCATCAATGTGTGGCATGGAGGCTGCACAGCTGCAGAAAGAAAAGCTCTGCAGAGAGTGGTGAAGGCTGCACAGAAGATGCTGGAGTCAGCCTCCCCACCATCACAGACATCTACACCTCCAGATGCAGGAAGAGGGCCACCTGCATCATGAAGGACCCCACTCACCCAGCACACACACTTCTTGCCCCACTCCCCTCAGGAAGGAGGTTGAGGAGCATTAAATGTAGAACCACTAGACTGAGGAACAGCTTCTACCCTGAGGCTGTTAGACTCATGAATCTCTAACCAGAATAATCACTGTGAAAAACCATATCATGTTGCTGCTGATCTGTTTCATGTTGCTGCTGATCTGTTTCATGTTGCTGTGTTCATTCGTACTCATCTGCTCACTCAGACTCATGTTCGTGCTGCTGTTCGACATATTTTTTTTTATGCTACTAGTGCTTAGTGTATATTTAGTTTATGCTTTTCTTAGTTCATATCTTAGCTCTTATTACTGTTTTTCTTTTACATTTTATTGTTGGATGTAACTGGGACCCTGTGTACATAATTTCACTCCACCACATGTACCACATGAGGTGGAGCGACAATAAAGAATCTCTGGATCTTCAAATAACATGACTCCAAGAGATCTACAACTGTTACATTTATTTTGAAAGAGAACAGCTTTAAATAAAAGATGACCTGAACCAACCTGGAGCAACTTGAATTAAATGTATCTGAATTTCTTGCAGAACATTTGTGTTTACTTCCATTTAGCATTTGTTCAGCTTGGCATCTGACTTTACAGAATTTAGCAACTAATGCTCTACGTACTGGACAATAAACTGATTAGGACTGTAACTAGAAGTAAAGACCAGTATAACATCAATAACAGGACTTACCTCCTCTTCCAGTTTGACCACCTTGGCCTGGGCGTTGTTGAGAGCCTGGTCTCTGATCTCAATGTGTCTCCTCTGGTCCTCTGTGGTGGAGCGAAGAGCATTCAACTCCATCTCCAATTTCTCCTTCTCACGCAGAGTTTCTTTGTCTGACCATACAAAAGACAATCCATTAACCAGACTGTTGGGCAAAAACGTTATACGTGCTAAACGTTATTCCTATCTCAAATCAGTTACATTTTCATTTATAAATGAAGGAGAGCAAATTGTGTATCTGTTAAGTCACAATGTACTTTATAACAAACAAAAAACACTTATTCATACAACCAGTTCTGCAGAGTTTGTAGTAGAATCTAGTCCATCCATCCATCCATCCATCCATCCATTATCTTTTACCCGCTTCTTCCTTTTTTGTGCTGCGGGGGTCGCTGGTGCCCATGTCCAGCAATCACTGTGCGAGAGGCGGGGGACACCCTGAACAGGTCTCCAGTCCATCACAGGGACACATAGAGACAAACAAGACAACCATTCTCTCTCTCTCACCTAGGGACAATTTAGAGTTACCAGTCTAACATGCATGTTTTTGGTCTGTGGGAGGAAACCGGAGTACCCGGAGAAAACCCACACATGCACTGAGAGAACATGCAAACTCCACCCAGAAAGGCCCCCTGATCAGGATTTGAACTAGGGATGGGGCCGATCCGATCGGGTATCGGGTTCCGATACCAGCATTGTTTACGTATTAGAACTATCCAATCCAATCCAACCTGCAGAGATTTCCGATCCATGATGCATGTCTGTGTCTGCTGAAACGTCTCCACATGTGATTCCCTGCCGGCTGCTCTGCAAGTTGGATTCAAACTATGGAATGGATTTCCTGAACATGTCTCAAGAAGCCCAGAGCAATGAGACCCGCCTCACATTCAGGAAATCCATTCCATAGTTTGCAGCCAGCTACAACGTGAGGACTGAGCAGCACTGTGGCTAACGGCTAACCAACTTTTCATGGCAACATGTCCGCTGTGTGGAAGTATTTTACACTAGAAACATCACAAAACAAGACAGCAACGTGCAATGTCTGCAGAGCTGCTGCACCGAGAGGAGGAAGCTCCGTCGCGACCTACAATACAATGAACTTAACTACTGCAGCTGACGTAATCCCAGCCATCACCGTTTTAAAGCGCCTGCTGACCGAGGACAACAGGACAACAGCATCAAAACATTGAAAAGAACGCTCCTCCAAGCTGTCAATCACTCAAGCTGTCACTGACATCGAAAGTGAGGCCTATTTTTTATTAATGCCTGATTTATTAATGTTGCCTAAGTTTCAAAGTTAGAATTAAATCCTGCTAACACAAAACAATATGGTTTTTTTTTTCTAGCTTTAAAGTGGATATTAAAGTGATTAAATGGCTTCATACATTTGCTATGTTCATGGCAAAAACCAACAAGGACATGCTCCTGTTTTTTGTATTTTACATGGCTTTATTATGTAGCTGCTTTTGTTTCTTTTTTATATATAATTTTTTTCCTTTTATTTTTCAATTCATATGTTTTTTTTATGATTGTCCATTGTTGTCATCATTCTTTGTTAAAACAGGTCTCTCTTGTAAATGAGTCCTCGAGGCTCAATGAGACTAACCTGCGTAAATAAAGATTGAATGAATTAATTAGTTAGCATAAAATAACATTTTAAAAAGAGTGGGGGTGTGGGTGGAGATGAGTGTGTCTGTACATTTATACTGTCTTGCAGCTGCAATAATGTTTTGTCCATCCATCCATTTTCTTCTGCTTATCCGGGGTCGGGTCGTGGGGGTAGCAGCCTAAGTAGGGAGGCCCAGACTTCCCTCTCCCCAGCCACTTGGGCCAGCTCTTCCGGGGGAATCCCGAGGCGTTCCCAGGCCAGCCAAGAAACATAGTCCCTCCAGCGTGTCCTGGGTCTTCCTCTGGGCCTCCTTCCAGTGGGACGTGTCCAGAACACCTCACCAGGGAGGCGTCCAGAAGGCATCCTAAACAGATGCCCAAGCCACCTCAACTGGCTCCTCTCGATGTGGAGAAGCAGCGGCTCTACTCTGAGTCCCTCCCGGATGATCGAGCTTCTCACCCTGTCTCTAAGGGAGAGCCCAGACACCCTGCCGAGAAAACTCATTTCGGCCGCTTGTATCCGAGATCTCATTCTTTCGGTCACAACCCAAAGCTCGTGACCATAGATGAGGGTAGGAACGTAGATCGATCGGTAAATTGAGAGCTTCGCCTTTTGACTCAGCTCTCTCTTCACCACGACAGACCTGTACAGCGCCCGCTTCACTGCAGATGATGCACCTATCCGCCTATCGATCTCACGCTCCATTTTTCCCTCATTCGTGAACAAGACCCCAAGATACTTGAACTCCTCCACTTGGGGCAGGACCTCCTCGTACAAAAAAGCACTCCATAAAGTTAGAACTTTAAATTATCCATCTTTAATTGATGAGACTAAAAATAACTCGAGGTTCCTTTTCAGCACCATAGCTAGTCTAATGAAAAATCCTTATCTCTGTTGAACCATGTATCCCTACAACTATAAGCAGTGATGACTTCATGAGATTCTTTATAAATAAAATTGTTTCAATAAGGGAAAAAATTTTAACCAACTTTCCTAGTATCGCCTCTGGTTCTGTCAACTTAAAAAATGTTACTAGAACCTGATTTATGTTTGGACTGTTTTTGTTCTGTTGAACTCTCTGAATTGTCAAAAATAATAGCTTCATTCAAACCACCCACATGTCTGCTAGATCCCATCCCAACAGGGTTATTTAAAGATGCATTTCCCTTAATTAATAATCACGCCCTGGATCGCTTAAGATGTCTCTAATAAACGGTTACGTACCACACGGCTTTAAGATTGCTGTAATTAAACCTTTACTTAAGAAATATAACCTTGACTCAGGAATCCTTGCCAACTATTAGGGCTGTATACCGAACCAAGGTTCTTCTATAGCACCGACCGAACTGCGTCGGTCGGTGTATGAACTGAAATGCCACTCTTTTTTCTGTGTCAAGTTTCGGTATTGGCTGTAACATGTCACGTGGTGTCCGCACGCAGGCAGGTAAAACACCAGACATATGACAAACAGACTACGTGTTTACACCCAGAGCTGTATAGAGCTGCCCTACAGCTTGTATGTCTATGATGCAGGTTACGCCCACAGACGGGGTTCACGTGTGCATGTGGCGTCGAACGGCTTCGACCACACACGCAACTTTCTGCTTACGAGCAGATGTGATCATCTGCGAAGAAATAATCTGTTTGAAGAGTTTCAGTCAGATTTTAGAGCTCACCACAGCACTGAATCTGCACTGGTGAAAGTTACCAATGATATTCTCATGGCCTCTGACAACGGACAGGTGTCTACACAGGACCTGATAGATAGAGTTGCACTCAGGTCCAAATAATCCAAACTGACCCGGCCCTAGCCCACAGCCATCATCTCCGAACCCAACCCAATCCGACGAATTAACAATAATTACAGGTCAACCCCCCCCCCCCCCCCCCCCCCCCAAAAAAACCCAACATTTTTAATTAAGCTTTGACTGCTTATACCACCGACTATTATTAATGGTTGGCAGACGCGTGTGGATGAGAGGGCAGAAGATCGGAGATGAGAAGTCGTTAAAGCGCATTAAATGCTTCCCCTGCTTCTGCCTGCATCCTGGTCTGATGTCTGATATTTTGTGATCTCACCTGTTTGGGTCATCGGCCGTGGGTGTCCACTGAGTGTAGCAGCTAAATGAAAGTCCATTTGATCTGACGGATCGCTGGAAGTAGTCCATCTGAAGCTTAACTGAACTTTTTACCTCTTTCAACCGGCCAGTCAGCGTGCTGTGAAATGGCCACATGTGGCAGGTGCAGTATGGCAAGCCATGTTTGTAAATATTGGATCGTCAGCTGCGTGCATCCCTGACGCAATAAAAAGCCCAACACCGACCCGGCCCACACTAAGCACACTATTATGGCCTGGCCCTATCCGAATCCAGGTCGGGTGGGGTGATTTTGGCTGTTCCTAAAACAAGACTGAAGCTCAGAGGAGATCAGGCATTTTCAGTCATGGGCTCCAAACTCTGGAACAACCTGCCCCCCAACATCAGGCTGGCCACCTCCCTTTCTCAGTTCAAATCCCTGCTAAAAACACATCTGTTCTCGCAGGCATTTATATACTCTGGATGGGTCCTTGTTAGGGATTGAAGTTCATCCAACTTGTTTCCAAGCTATCTCACATTGCCCATCATGATCGATGGAAGAGACGGTTTGAACCTCATTCTCCTCGCCCTCTTCTTTGCTACTGCTCTGCATCCATGACCTCTCCTTTTCAACTCGTATGGGATTTGGGGCTGTAGTTGAGATATTATTTGAACTTTTGAGATGTTAATCAGCTGCTCCCGGTTATTAAAGTTACACCTTGTTGTTATGGTTACGCATCATAACAAATGTCCAAAAGCAAAGATGTTTCAGTAAAAATCCTTCCAGCTGCACAGCATCTGATACCAGAAGAAACAATCATCCAAAAAAAGCGATTTATATCCAGAAAAAAAAGGAATTAAAGTTTTCAAAAGTAATATCTCAGAATGAAAGTAACAGAGCTACTCCAACATGCAGCCATCTTGAGCGGCACAATTCAAAAATTTCGAAGAAATCAGCCATTTTTTTTTTAATATTAAGCTGAAATTTGGTGTGGTAGTAGCTGAGAGCAATGCCCAATAAATAATGAATTAAACTAATTCAAGATGGCCACCAAAGCTAAATTTAAATGTCTTCATCTCAGCTATTTTTGCACAGAGCTGACATTTGGTGTGGTTATAGCTGAGAACATTACCCATCACATATTGAACCCAAATCAAAAATCCAAGATGGCCACCATAGCTTAAAAGAAAAGAAAAAACTCATTGATAATGTGCCATTTTAAGCTGAAATTTGGTGTGGTGGTAGCTGAGAGCGAACCACAACACATAATACTGTCAAATCAAAATTTTAAAATGGCTGCCACGTGGCAGTCCACGTCAAAATTTCTCCAGGAACTTTCTAGTTTAACTCTATGTTGAATGAATATTATTCTTATATAAGGTCATAACAGAAACTGGATTTGAAAACCTAGATTAAAATTGTTCAGTGTTTTAAATTTTGAATTGAAACATTTGTGACAGTCTGTCTTGTGTTGAACTCACTTTGAGCCAGCAGCTGGGAGATGGTTTTACGGTTGTCCTCTGAGCCATCACACTCTTTAGATGCAAGTTGTTTATTAGCAGTCTCCATGCGCTCTAAAAATCAGCAGTACACAACAGAAGATCATTCAGATGCTCCGAAATAGTGTTCAAATACTTTTAAAAGACAAACACATGACTGAGTTACTTCAGTCCAGTTCAAACATTTCAGTCATCTGCTCAGTAATAGTATCAGTCAACTTCTTTCAAGAGTTTAAAGAAAAGAACTTGTACTGTAATCTTGTTTGAAGAGTTTAGTACACAATAAGCAACAAGGACGCTGATTTCAACCTAACATTTTTACTAAAGGTGTTAACAGACATTATGTGCAACTAACTGTGTGTGAGTCTCAAAGTTAAGATACTTAAAAGAAAAATACAGTAAATAAACCCCAGAGGGAGTGTCCTCAGGCCGTACAGACGTGTCAAATCTTCAAGTTGCAGAAGAGATGTAATTTTGGCTGCATGTTCAAGGCTCTTACCTCTTAGGTCCCTGTTGAAGTCGTGCAGACGGCGCACCTCCAGCTCCAGCTTGTTTCTCATGGTTTTCTCTAGGGACTCCCTCTTGGAGGAGGACTTGGCAAGGTTTTCATAGGCCTCTGACACCAGCTGGATCTCTGTTTCCAACTGCCACACAAAGCATGAGAGAAAACATATTGTCAAAGATGTTTCCCTGCTGTGTAATGGATTATTTAACCATTCACTGGGTATCCATCCATTCTCTTCCGCTTATCCGGGGTTGGGTCACGGGGGTAGCAGCTTAAGTAGGGAGGCCCAGACTTCCCTCTCCCCAGCCACTTGGGTCAGCTCGTCCAGGGGAATCCCAAGGCATTCCCAGGCCAGCCGAGAAACATAGTCCCTCCAGCGTGTCCTGGGTCTTCCTCTGGGTCACCTCCCGGTGGGACGTGCCCAGAACACTTCACCAGGGAGGCGTCCATGAGGCATCCTAACCAGATGCCCGAGCCACCTCAACTGGCTCCTCTCAATGTGGAGAAGCAGCGACTCTACTCTGAGTCCCTTCCGAATGACCGAGTTTCTCTCCCTATCTCTAAAGGAGAGCCAAGACACCCTGCGGAGAAAACTCATTTCGGCTGCTTGTACCCGAGAGCTTGTTCTTTCGGTCACTACCTAAAGCTCATGACCATAGATGAGAGTAGGAACGTAGATCGACCGGTAAATTGAGAGCTTTGCTTTTTGACTCAGCTCTCTCTTCACCACGACAGACCGATACAGTGCCCACTTTACTGCCAAAGCTGCACCTATCCGCCTATCGATCTCACGCTCCATTTCTCCCTCATTCGTGAATAAGACCCCAAGATACTTGAACTCCTCCACTTGGGGGAGGACCTCCTCCCTGACCCGGAGAGGGCACTCTACCCTTTTCCGGCTCAAGACCATGGCCTCGGATTTGGAGGAACTGATCTTCATCCCAGCTGTGTCGCACTCGGCTGCAAACCGCTCCAGCGAAGGCTGTAGATCACGACCTGATGAAGCCAACAGGACTACATCATATGGAAAAAGCAGAGACGCAATCCTAAGGCCACCAAAACGGATCCCCTCAACACCTTGGCTGTGCCTAGAAATTCTGTCCATAAAAGTTATGAACAGAATCGGTGACAAAGGGCAACCTTGGCGGAGTCCAACTCTCACTGGGAACGCCGGCTGTAAGGAATTTCCATTCTCTCTAAAAAGAAAATGGTATCTGATCAGCATAATAATTCTGAACAACTCACGTGTGATGATTCCTAAGGCTGACAAGGTGTAAACAATGACACATGGCCAAAAATAGCTGCATAAACTTGTTAAGTTATTTTTTTAAGCTATGGTGGTCATCTTGGATTTTTGATTTGGATTCAGTATGTGATGGGTAATGTTCTCAGATATAACCACACCAAATTTCAGCTCTATGTTTAAAAATAGCTGCGATAAAGCCATTTAAATTTAGCTTTGGTGGCCATCTTGAAATATTTAAATACATTATTTATTGGGCATTGCCCTCAGCTGCTACCACACCAAATTTCAGCTTAATATCTTGAAAAATGGCTGATTTACACTATTTTTCCTTTTTAGCTAAGGTGGCCATCTTGGACAAAGTAGTCCCTCATTCATCGTGGGGGATCTGTACCCTGAAGCCGCGCGATAAGTGAAAAAACGCCAAGTAGGAATAGTGTTGGAGAGTTTTGGACTATTGATCATTTGAAACTCTTTTTCTTATCAGTATACTTGTTTCAACAAAGTTTCTGTGGGTAGAAGTGTACTTTGGACATGTATGCTGGACACGCTGAGAGCAGTGCGGTCTGAACGCCCCAGAGAACACTCTGACCTGAGCTTGCAGCGTCTGTCTTCTAATACTGCCGCATCTGCATTATTTGTTTTTATCTGTTAACCACTCCTACATGCTCCAATAAAAACAGACGCACACAGAAGCAATTTTAGACTTCGTTCTGACCTTGGTCGGATGATGTCTCTCTTTGCAAAGATTTGCGTTTATTATAACTCATCTCTGTTCTCTGTTGTGGTTATTATTTTTTAATAGGTGCTGGTTTTTTAAACAAGAAAAACCCCTACAGATAGTAGTACAAGTAGTAGTTTATTTTAGTATAAATATATATATAAAGGTGTTTTAAACCCTTCCCACACTCTTGCAATATTCTAAACAATGTTTCTAATCTCTAAATGCTCTAAAAGAGCACAGCATGTCATGATTTCAGCTCTCTGCCTCCAGCTGCACTCTGCAGGGAGGCAGATCTTTCAGTTCTCAGGCTCCTCTCTTGTGGAACCAACTTCAGTTTCTGGCCATGAGGCTGACACATTGTCCAGTTTGAAGACTGGGATTAAGACTTTCCTTTTTGATAAATCCTATAGTTAGGGTCGGCTTGGGTTTCCTGAGCTGTCCCTTAGTTCTGCTGCTTTAGGCTTAGACTGCTGGAGGACAAGCTGACCACACTTTTTCACTCTGCTACTGTCTTTACTTACTCTCAACCCGTTTGGTATTTAGGCCCGAGCAGCAAAGCGCTGCGAAGGCCTATTGTAATCGCTCTGTTCATTAGGCCCGTGCAACAATTTTTCCATTAAATGAATTGACCTTTTGGAGGCCTAAACATATCTGACAACTCACCAAATTTGGCGGACACATCAGGACTGAGTGAAAATTGCGTATTTTAAGAGTGTCGCAAAAATCGCAACAGAAACGGCTCAACAGCGCCATCTGGAAATTTTCGAAATACCCTCTGCCTTAATCTTACTTTCTCGTAGAAGCATGAAATTTGTACACTTGCCTAACTCTCCAAGACACATCCGGTCCCATGCAAGACTGAATGGTCAAATCATGACATCACTTACGCCACGCCCACTGAGAATAGGAAGTGTAAAGTTTTACGTTGAACGGTCCCTATCTGACCCGTTACCTGATCAACATGATAGTGTGTCCAGTCACCGAAGACATGTTGGTGTAAAATGGTTTCCAACATTGACAGTTTTCGGTGGAGTATGTGAACGTTGCGGCGTGGCGAAGTAAGACGTAACGTCGTGGCCATACATTTGGCTCTAAATTCCACAGATTTGAGCAGAGATGCACCAAGATCAGTATGATCGATCAATATCCACCCCTTGAAAAGGAATCCATGATAATTGGCCAATAGCCTCCACAGCGCCCCCTAGAATATTTTAAAACTTCAGCCCCAAGCCATTTTTCTGACAAATAATTCTGAAACTCAGTGTATATCTGTATCTTATCAGGACCTATGAAAAAGTCTCTTGGAGCCCTGGTCCAAACCCAACAGGAAGTCAGCCATTTTGGTTCAAAGGATCATTTTAGGGCGTTTTTCAGTTTTCATACATGACAAATTTTAACGAACTCCTCCTAGGGATTTAAAGTGATTGGCTTCAAACTTGGTTGTTATACCCTTAAGGCATTGGGGAGTAAAATTTATCAAAATCTTGAGTTTTCGGAAATGCTAAAGGGGCGTGGCCAGGCCTCAAAGTTTCCCTTCACGCCATAATTTCCAAACACTATAACTTTCACATAGAAAGACCAAATTGCACCAAACGTAGCATGAGTCATACCTGTTATCTTGCTACTTTTTATTTGATGATGTGATATTTTTGTTAAGCACTTTGGTAACAGTTTCTGTTTTAAATGTGCTCTATAAATAAATCTGACTTGACTTGACTTAAGAGTCATCCCTGTAGGATGCCAAACGATCCTATGTGGTCATATTCTGACATCATCAAAGCCCCACCCCCTCAGAACAGGAAGTCACTTTTTTACTTGGAACGCTCCCTCTCTGACCCCCTTGACCTAATCAGGATGATCCTGTGTTAGATGACAGATAACAAGTGGTTTTGACTTGCTCTAACTCTGAACGCTAGGAAATGCCTTGTAACTGTTTTTCCTTCCCTCCATTGATTACGGTGACATTATTTACATGAACGCTCCTACAAGAACCCTGCAGATGTTGGATGCTGCAGATGTTGGACGCTGTCTATCATGGTGCACTAAGATTCATAACTGGCTGTGATTATCATACCCACCACTGCACCCAGTATTCACTGGTTTAAATGGTCACCATTAACTTCACACAGACTCTCTCACTGGTACATTTTCATCTTTAAATCACTTCTTGGTCTGCTGCCTTCATACATCTCCTCCTACATGTCTCTGTGTGAGTGCAGCTACAGCGTGTGCTCTCAGGACATCATTACCTGCAGTGTTCCCTCAGTGTGAACTGAACTTGGCAAAAGGACCTTCTCCTACTCCGCTCCTTTTTCCTGGCTTATCTTACAAAAAGATCTGAAGCTCTTAACCTTGACCTCTCTAAGTGGCTTTAAAAATCTGTTGGGACTCTTGGCAAAAACCAATGCAGACATGTCCCTGCTTTTAGTTTTCTACATTTGCCTTATAATCTAGCTGTTTTTGTTACTTTTTTTGCCATCTTATTTGTAAAAAAATAAATAAATTAATTAAAGCTGCAAGCAGCATTGGAGGCCCACACAGCAAAGCGCCACTCCGGTCTTACTGCGACCGCGGGAGCGCCAGCGGCTCCATCCAGTCGCCATTGTGAACGCTCTCATGCCTATCCCACACTCCTTCACCAGCTTGCACATTTGCCAAATCTTTGTCATCACCTGCGACCACGGGAGCTCCAGCAACGCCTCCCAGTGGCCATTGTGAACGCTCTCATGCCATTCCTGCATGCGTCCACTAGGGTGCAATTATGCCGAATCTTTGAAATGACCTTCCGCCCATATCAGTATGAGTCCAGCTGAAAGCCTTACAAGTGTGGCTAAAATCTGACCTTCCTGACAGGAGTTATTGTCATTTCCTGTTTTGTAGTGCATGTAAAGGATTTCCAGTTTGACATGACTGTCGACGAGGAAGAGGGCTGGCTCCAGAGAAGGGGGCGTGCCAAAGACACCATCTTAGCACCAACATAACTGGTTTGTTCCACTTTGGAGTAATCTGTTTGGGGAAGAATCAGTTTTGTATTGTGTGTTTCCTTGACTGATGAAGCCTTCCAGATGGAAGGTGAAACATTTCAGCAAAAAAAGAAACTGGCCAGATGACCTGACTGAAAATTGTTAGATTGTATACCTGGATTATTGAGCATGGATTTTTTTGATTTCCTTTAGGCTTTTCAACATGTCATATGTGGTCATCAACAGTTAGCGAATGCTGTTTTAGTCTTATATCTTACACAGTGCCAAGCTGGAAGAGACACCCAATAAGCATCGGTTTCTTCTCTGAGTGGGCCGGGCTTAAGTCAAGACATGAATCAACAATACCAATGTGTCTACAAGTGCTCACTGATGAAGCACAAAAAAATCTGGTTTAGATCAGATGATGTATCACTGAGATATAACTGTTGGAATAATCTAGGGGGCATACTCAAGTCAAATGTTAAAGAACAAAACCAATGTATATAGAAGTGCTCACTGATGACGAACCAAAAATCTGGTCCAGATCGGATGGTGTATCACCTAGATATAGCTGTTGGAATAATCTAGGGGGCACATTGGAGTCAAATGTTTAAAAATCAACACCATTGTCTGTAGAAATGCTCACTGATGACAGACAATAAATCTGGTACAGATCAGATGATGTATCACTGAGATATAACAGTTGGCTTAATCTAGGGGGCGCACTGGAGTCATATGTTAAACCACATTATCAATGTGTGTAGAAGTGCTCACTGATCACGCACAATAAATCTAGTGCATATTGGATGAAATGTCACTGAGATATAACTGTTGGAATAATCTAGGGGGTGCACTGGAGTCAAAAGTTAAACAATAATACCAATGTGTCTAGAAGTGCTCACTGACGCACAATGAATCTGGTTCAGATCGGATGATGTATCACTGAGCTATAACTATAGGAATAATGTAGGGGGCACTGTGGAGGCTATTGGCCACTTATCATGGATGGTTCAAGGGGCGGATAATGATCAATCATAGTGATTTTGGTGCACCTCGGCTCAAATCTGTGCAATTTAGAGCCAAACGTATTGCAACGACATCACTTCTTGATTCGTCACGCCCACATCCTCCAGCAAAAACGGTGGACATCATTCCAAAATGGCCGCCTTCCTGTTTATCATACAAAGTTGGTGCAAGAGGGTTTTCTGTGAATCTTGGGGAATTGGACAAGTGTACCAAATTTCATGTTTCTACAACAAACTAAGGTTAATGCGGAGGGTATTTTGAAAACTTCCAGGTGGCGATCTTGAGCCGATTTTTGCGACGCCCTTAAAATACGTAATTTTTCAGCAGTCCTGATGCGTCCGCCAAATTTGGTGAGTTTTGGGATGTGTTAAGGCCCCAAAAGGCCAATTTATTTGACGGAAAAATTGCAGCTTGGGCCTGAGCAGAGCGATTACAATAGGCCTTCGCAGCGCTTCGCTGCTCGGGCCTAATAAAAATATCAGTTCGCTATAGGGGCAGCTGTGGCTGAGTGGTTAGAGCAGTCGTCCTCCAATGCAAGAGTTGGGGGTTCGAATCCACCAGCAGTCAAATGCTGAAGTGTCTCTGTGCAAGACACTGAACCCCTCATAGCCTCTGATGTGTGTCCCATCAGTGAATGAATGTGATCTAAAACTCTGATTAGTCTCTTTAGAATTATTTGTTCAATTAGTTTTGTAGAGATCTAGTAGAGTGCTGTATGAATGAGGCACAGATTGTCGTGTAAAGAACTTTGAGTATCTCAATAAGATAGAAAGTACAGTCCTTTATCATTTACTATTCATACCAAGTATGTTTACTGCCGAACATACCATATGTCTGTGCTGGCACAGAGACGTCCACATAAAAAGAAGTTGTATGCACCTTTTGGAAGAAAACCTGCACAAAATGCTCTAAAGAACACCATGGGCTAAAAGTGCCTGACTCTTAAAGCTCAGTGATGGTTGTGTCAAATTTTTACTGTCTCCTAAAAGCTGGCAGTACCTGCTTCCTTTCAGGAGAAAGGACAACGGCAAAAAAGCAATTTGCAGCACTGTTGCCTTCACAGCATTTACCGTACAAATATATTATCTAAAAAGTGTTTATTCCTGCTGTTTTGTCATCAAGATACTAAATCTTTTATTAAATACCATTTTAACAAATATAAAAAAGTTAAATCTGGTCCTCTGGACATCAAAATAATATATATATATATATTATAACAGCATTGTAAGAGGGGGACAGTTGAACACGGATGCTGCACCCCCTCTTACAATGCTGTGATTGCTAGTATCACTCAGCCCTCTGTGAACAGTAAACAGCCATCAGTTGCTAATGATCCATTGTTAGGCTGATGGTCCTTCTTGAGCATGTGATCAGCTGGTTCTGGTTGTCAGCAGCAAAACTGGTTGATCCACTCTGAGAATGTGCTATTTAAGAGACTGAGCTGAATACAGCACCTCAGACTGAGGAAGTCCTCAGGATGAGAGAAGAAACGTTTCTACTTTTTTTTTTGTGGTTTTTTTTGAATGTCCAGAGGACCAGACTTAACTTTTTCTACCTGGATTATTGAGCATGCATCAGGATATGTTAACAAATACAAACCGGATTCCAAAAAAGTTGTGACACTAACCAAATTGTGAATAAAAACTGAATGCAATGATGTGGAGGTGCCAACATCTAATATTTTATTCAGAATAGAACACAAATCACAGATCAAAGGTTTAAACAGAGAGAATGTTTCATTTTAAGGGAAAAATCTGTTGTTTCCAAATTTCACGGCGTCAACAAATCCCCAAAAAAGTTGGGACAAGTCCATTTTTCCCACTGTGTGGCATCCCCCCTTCTTCTTCCAACACTCAACAGACGTCTGGGGACAGAGGAGACCAGTTTCTCCAGTTTAGAAATAGGAATGCTCTCCCATTCATGTCTAATACAGGCCTCTAACTGTTCAATCGTCTTGGGCCTTCTTTGTCGCACCTTCCTCTTTATGATGCACCAAATGTTCTCTATAGGTGAAAGATCTGGACTGCAGGCTGGCCATTTCAGTACCCGGATCCTTCTCCTACGTAGCCATGATGTTGTGATTGCTGCAGAATGTGGTCTGGCATCATCGTGTTGAAAAATGCAGGGTCTTCCCTGAAAGAGATGACGTCTAGATGGGAGCACATGTTGTTCTAGAACCTGAACATAGTTCTCTGCATTAATGGTGCCTTTCCAGACATGCAAGCTGCCCATGCCACAAGCGCTCATGCAACCCCATACCATCAGTGATGCAGGCTTCTGAACGAACTTGGGCTATCCTTGTCCTCTCTGGTCCGGATGACATGGCGTCCCAGTGTTCCATAAAAAACTTCAAATCGTGACTCATCTGACCACAGAACAGTCTTCCATTTTGCCACACTCCATTTTAAATGACCCCTGGCCCAGTGCAAACGTCTGAGCTTGTGGAGCTTGCTTAGAAATGGCTTCCTCTTTGCACTGTAGAGTTTCAGCTGGCAACGGCGGATGGCACGGTGGATTGTGTTCACTGACAATGCTTTCTGGAAGTATTCCTGAGCCCATTCTGTTATTTCCTTGACAGTGGCATTCCTGTTTGAGGTGCAGTGACGTTTAAGGGCCCGGAGATCACGAGCATCCAGTAGAGTTTTACGGCCTTGACCCTTACGCACAGCGATTGTTCCAGATTCTCTGAATCTTTTGATGATGTTATGCACGGTTGATGATGATAACTTAAAAGTCTTTGCTATTTTACGCTGGGTAACACCATTCTGGTATTGCTGCACTATCTTTCTGCTCAACAATGGTGGAATTGGTGATCCTCTTACCATCTTGTCTTCTGAGAGACACCGACACTCTGAGAAGCTCTTTTTATACCCAATCATGTTGTCAATTGACCTAATTACTGTTAATTGTTATATGCTCAATTTCCTTTTTCCAGCCACTTATTGCTACTTGTCCCAACTTTTTTGGGATTTGTTGACACTGAAATTTTGAATCAACATATTTTTCCTTTAAAATGTTACATTTACTCAGATTAAACTTTTGATCTGTCATCTATGTTATATTAGGAATAAAATATTGACATTTGCCATCTCCACATCATTGCATTCAGTTTTTATTCACAATTTGTTTAGTGTCCCAACTTTTTTGGAATCCGGTTTGTAGTTTGTCACACCCAGAACGTAACAAACAACACTAAGTAATTATCTCACTGGGTTATTTTTTTGCTCTGCCACCTGTGGAGACCTGGAGCTTACCTTTTCTTTCTTTCTGTCACTATTGTGGCTGCTGTGTTTGTGACAAACAAACATATTTAGATTGTGTGGTGAGAACAACAAACTCTTGTGTTCTGATGCAGTAAGAGCATATTGTCCAAACTTGCTGAACCTGACAGGCACTGTTTGCACCAGCTTATTAATGTTGTTTGTTTTGTTCAAATGTCACCAAAATGGAGTGATTTTTCATAATCATTCAGTGTAATTGTTTTGTAGGCTACATATCCTTTGTGCCAACAAGTCTTAGTTACATTGTTTTACAGTAACTCCAGTTCACAAACCACACATTGTTTTACATATTAGAGTAAAAGCATTAAGTACTTCACATAGACCACTTCAACAAATAAGAAAAACTAAAGTTTCTGTTTAAGTTTTTTTTTTTTACATTACCTTGTGCAGCTTTGTGACTTTCTCCCGGCATGCTTCCATCTCCTGCCTCAGCATCCTGTTCTCCTCTGTCAGCACATCAACCATGTGTTGGGTCCGGGACATCATGGCATACGGCTCCCCCACCTGCAGATGTGAGAAGGACTGTGGCAGAGGAAAAGGTCCAGGTTGAACTGACAGCTGAGACTGCAGAAGTCCAGGTACTTGGAAAGGCTGCTGCTGGCACTGAATGTGCTGCTGCTGATGGTGAAGCCTTGGCGATGAGCCGTAGGAATCCAAAGTGAACGCCTGACCCCTCTGAGGTGTCTGATGACCAGGTCCTGGTGCAAAAGGCTCTGCCACTGGGTGGGAGCCTGCTCCCTGAGAACTACGAGGGCCCATAATGGGAAAAATGTCTCCATGGCTCTGTGGTTGCTGGTGAGGAATGGAAGGATGTGATGAATGGGAGGCTGAAAGGATGCTGCTGAGGGTCGAGGACTGGGCACGAGACAGAGAGCCAACAGAGGTGACAGAGGACGTGGGGCTGTGCTGGTGCAGGGGTCTCTGGTAGTGAACAGAACCCTCTTTACTGGATCTGAGGAGACACAAGCTATGTGGTTATATTCAATTCAATTCAATTCAAAAATACTTTATTAATCCCAGAGGGAAATTATTTGTTGTTGTAACTCATTATCCTCATTTCATTAAGAGATGTTATAGATGCTGATGGCTGTAGACAGGAAGGATCTCTGGTAAAGTTCCATCCCACAGTGGATCCTAAGAAACTGGCTGCAGATGCCGTCCGATCCGTCCACCCAGACTCGGCTGGCCTTTCGGTTCCCCCGGGCTGTAGAACCGCCAAAATGCTGGACAGAACTCCTCCCAGAGCGATGGCCACTCCTCCCAGAAGTCTGCTGAGCTCCTCGTCGCTGCGGACAGCCAACTGTAGGTGCCGAGGGACGATCCTGTCCTTCTGCTGTCATGAGCCGTGTTTCCTGCTAGTTCCAGGATCTCAGTGGTCAGGTACTTGAGCACAGCTGGCAGGTAGATGAGAATGCATCCACAGAACATCCTTTCAACTCATTTGAGATGTGGGGCTGTAGTTGAGATATTATTTGAGCTTTTGAGATGTTAATCAGCTGTTGGTTGTAGAAAACTCACTTGTTGCCATGGTTACGCATCATAACAAATGTCCAAAACTAAAAAAGTTTCAGTAAAAATCCTTCCAGCTGCACAGCATCTGATACCAGAGGAAACAATCATCCAAAAAAATGTGATTTACATCCAGAAAAAGAGGAATTAAAGTTTCCAAAAGCAAAATCTCAGAATGAAAGTAGAGCTGCTCCAACATGCAGCCACCTGGAGCGGAGCAGTTCTAGAACCAACAAAAAAAAAATCTAAATATGGTTTCATTTTTTTCTCTTTGCTGCATGAAATCCACTTTGAGCTAAAAATTATCAAAATGTTAAACTATTTGAGCAATTTAATTATGTTTAATCATTCTAAATGAGTCGTCATCCGAGTCCGATTTCCACAACTATGTTTATGAACCGATTTTAAACCAGGAGACTTGCAGGTAATAACCCAGATGTTTCAATGGGTCACATAAGGTCAGGAGGACCTTCAGCATGGCTCAGACTGATTGCATCCAGAGCAGTGTTTCCCCTACCATTATACAAGCAGGGTGCCCCGTCCCGTTAACAGAACCGAGAGCGCCGAACTAC